TACACGAGAACATCCATTAACCGTCGTCGTTAATCGGTCTATATTAATCGGCGAATTTAAACATGTCTATACCTATCTCGTGGATGTATCTTTGTTAGATTTTTTTATAAACTTTATCGTTCTGATATTGAGAAGCTAAATGTTTCATTTAATTCTTCAGCTTCTTTGATCATAATGGCAAATCTTTCCGCTTGTCTTATTTTCTCTATACTATGTAAGATATTAGCTGGATCTGACAAAGAACAAGGCATTTAACATTCCCATGATCCTACGCTTCCAATAAATTACAAGGTCGTAACTAATTGATGAAAGTTAGTGTATTGCGAGCGAGATTTTGTAATTCACATTAGAGCGAAACAATCATAAGATTGTTATTATTATAGGACGGATATGGAAACATAAACGAGTTGATTGAGATTCGAATTTAGGATCCTTGGAATTATCTCTAGTTGTATTTAGCATGCTTCCATATGATTGTTCCATTATTACTCTCGTAATTATTCTGATCTCTTATTAATATTTAATCGCCTTAAAACTGTAATCGCATTAGGCAATTGCCGATTAGATTGCGATTGTAATTGGCAATTACTTTTCGACCACTCACAATCGCTACACTGGAAAAAAATTTATTAAATCTTAATACATATTTCTCTGAATACTACTGTAACTGTGAGTAAACGTTTACTTACAATAAATAAATATTTACTTAATAAAATTTACTTAATATTTACTTAATAAAAAAAATGATAGTTAAACCAAATTAATGGTTTTTGTATCAAATGTATATGTTTACATTTAGTAAATATTTACTCAAAATTATTCAAACAAATATTTATTACCGATTCTCTCCGAGATATCACATTGGCTTAAATTTAGTATATAATTGTGAATATTTAATAATTATATGTATGTTAATCATTTTCTGTACGATAAGCCTATCTGGAACAATTTAATGTCCGAACTTATCGCGACATCTAAATTAGCAGTTCCTTCGCATATCCAGCGATACTTTATATTCTGTCAGCGACGTTTTTCAGTCATGAATCACTGAAAAAACATCGTTTGCAATAATTGCTGCGACAGATTGATGCGATTCGGAAGCTACAAAGTCCCATCAGCTCGCTGTTGCAGCAATTTTGCGCGGTATTTTCTTCATATTTTTTTTTTGTAAGACATAAAGAAATATGTCATTAACGCTGCGTGGGCTAAAGATTCTAATCGCGAAATATAAAGACTAGATGACGAAAAGGCATCCATGAGGATGATTGATTCGAGCAGCGGTGATTCGAGCCTCGTGGCTCGGCGACGATACCCGCCGGCAGAAACTATTGAGCATGGCCTCTTATTGCCATCCAACCCTCCGCGCACCGACCTATTTCCGGCTAAAAATAGCCAATAGAATGATTGTCGCTAAAACGATGTCCACTCGACCGCGGCGTGTCGCGATTAATTGTAAGTGCGAAGGCGCCGTAACGCAATATCTCGTGCCACCTTTGGCTGTGCCTCCAGTGTTCGAATCTTGCGCCTCTTACCGTTTGAGTCACCTTCAAACAAGAGGAAAAAGAAATTTCAACGATTGGAATTTAATAATCCTCGTAAGCGAGAACGATTGAATTGCAATGGAAGGTACAGTGATTTCACCGCTGGTATCTTTTATGTTACGTTCATAAATTTCGCTCAGCTGCTCGAAATCCTTATTTCTTCTGCATTACTCATTCAAGGTGTTGAGGTATAATTTATTATATGACGGCTCGTAAGGTTTGCACCTTGCATTCATAAATAGGAAGTTGCTCTCGACAGAGCGCGGATTTCTTTCGTTTTTCAAAGCGTAAATTATCTTCAATGTGAATCTAATTTCGCAAATGAATTCGCTCTCGATGCTTAATGTATTTTCTTAATGATAAGAGTAAGACTAACGTTATCAACCCGATATCTCACACCAGAATGTTAATTCCGACACTTTCAAGTCCCACCTTTCAGGTTCCACCAATATTACCTCTTAATATTTACGTGTATTTAATTTTGCATTGTGAAACTAGTAAGGATTTCTAATTTTTTGGATATTTTAATTCTTATTAAATTGCAAAAATATACTTAATGCGTATGCAGCTACCACTTAGATTTCCTATTTCTAGTTATGTATAATTATTATTTTGAGATACTCATTTTTTGTGATATTTAAAAAATACGATGCAATCGCCAACTTTTTATAATCGGTTTTGCCATCGGTTTTGCCATCGGTTTTTATTGGAAGTTTTGCGTGCGGCGTCTGTGAAATTCTCCTCTTACTTAGCCCGCAAAAATGGCTCTAATTTGCGACGATAAGTAAGAGAAAAGTATACCAGGAATCGATTTTGCAATTTTTACGTTTGCGCAATTCGATTAAAACGGAATGTTACACGTGTAAGAAACGTCACGGCGTCCGATCGCGCTCGACAAGGCTCGTCTCGCCGAGGGAAAGTATTAAAAGAAAGTTCATACCCACGGCAATTAATCTCCTCCACGCTTCGCCGAACAGTAGTTAAGACGAGGTTAAGTCGGTTAATTGTTTAAGAGTATCGCGTGTCCGGTAAGCCGGTTTTTCCGCGAAAAGCAGATTCTGCTCGTCGAGCAGCGAATACCCCGTTAATAAGTAATAAGTTCTTTCACAAGCGCAAATTCGTTACGGCAAGACGCGTGACAAATTAATTACCTCCAAAGACTTGCAGATACGCGCAGAAATAATTATACCTGTAAACCGTAGATAATAAAGCGCTTTTAAACGCTTTAATGCAAAGAATACATACATTAAGACAGCGACAGATTAATTGTCAAACAGATTAATTATCATAATTGTTCTTGTTGTGCCAATCGCACTTGATAAAAGAATTAAATATTAATTACATTCATTCACGCTGGGTATTCTTCTTATTATACGTGGAAGTAACAAATTACAAAAGTTGCAAATTGAAAAGAATGATAGCTGCGATTTAATCGCAATATCGTTGTAAGTAAAGTTTCAATTGCATGAAATTAATCAGACTCATCGTATCAAGGAGGAGATAAGTAACTGCAATTATATTTTAGTTATCATGTGTTAGTTCGCAGTCCGAATGCATGATGCAACGAAAAGTAATGTTACATGTTGCAACTGGGATCATTGCACCGCATAATGATCTGTAGCTTTATTAAATTATGATCGGTCATAGGAAAATTCGAATGTGTAAAGTCAAGCCGAACTGAATCTGACTACATTCTATAAAGCGCACGATACGCATGATGTATCATTTTATTTTTGCTTAATTCGCTAAAGGACAAAGTTAAAATGATACATCATAAGATTTGAAAGTCGGCTATCTGAATTGTCTTGAAGGTGCAGAAAAGGAAGACCGCGATTACGTAAAGCGGCGCGATTCTTGGTCCAAAATTGTTTCGACATCGCGAGAATATATGATGGTGGCAGTAAAGAGAACGTGCCAATTTTTCGTCGTAGAAATTGTACACACGCATGAGAAAAGATATCGAGATTAAAGCGGATGATCGAACCGAAAATAGGTGAAGTGCAATCTAATTATGGTATGTCCTATTTTGTTAAACGAGGGCGCAATTATCCGCCAATGAGTAACATCCATACAGTTGTTTCATCCTTTGTCCCCCAGACAATTTGTACTTTACGGTGAATAATTAAACAAATGTCAAGCAAATGTGCATACGTATTCACCACCGTTTAAAATACTGTAACTAGCGACCTATTCATCTGCAAGAAACGTGAGAGGAAAGCTTATGTGATGATTCAAAGTATTATAAAAAGGATTATATAACATTGATTGCGCAATAATAGGCGAGCTATGTGCATTCCTTCTATTTGACCGTCACGATTTACGTCGATACGATTATTATCACGTCGCGTGAATAAATAATACGTGGTGGCGAAAAGACGATTAACATACAATATTATCGACTACGACGAATGATGATGTATTCACGACAATTCAACAGTTTACGTCGCGATTGTACGTTTTACCGTGTCATAATTAATTACCTTCCTTTCGGTATATAGTCGATGTAACCTTGAAGTATATTTTCGCTTACTGTCAATGAACCGTGGCAAACGGCCTACTTTTTACCTGCACGAAACGAATGATCGTTTTGGACCGTGTTCCGATATACACTGCCAATATTGAATCTATAGTGTACGTGAATTATATTTTCAGTACTGGCAGTACAGTCTTTGTCACAGCCTTTCGCGAATTTATACTTTGTTCCGTGTCGAGCGAATTTATGGGCTCTCCGAGAGAAAGGAAAAAGACCCTCCGATTGCTGTAACAGTCTGTTTTTTACAGCTAAGTAGAACGGTTCCTTGAACACATATACTGTATTTAAAACGTCACTTCCGAAACTCACTTCCGTCAATTATGGAGTTCTCAACAATTTCGTACGATTCTGCGATACTTTCACTATTTGCGCCAGCGATCGACGTCATAGATACCAATAAGAGAAATTACAAATTTAGACGTCAGAGCTCGGTTAACGTTTACGTATGTGTTTTTTTCCACTTGACATTTTCCTAAGAAAGTTCTAATAATAAATAATATCCTTCATACAGTTTTACTTGGGGTATCAAAAATAATTTGAACTTATGAATGTCAACGGGGACGATTGCAAGAGATGCTGCAATTTTAATTCTTAGGTCGGTATTCGTCCGTTCTTATTACAAGAACATCTAAAGTAAAATCTTGAGATGCCAATACGACTCTGTGTGTGGCCGGTATTTATAACCGGATCTTACATTTAAGACCATCTTAAGACATTACTTAAAACAATATTGAAATAAGGACCGTCTGTAAATACCGGCCTGCAATGGGATTATGAAATTTTATTACTGTACTTAGGACGGTCTTAAATATAAGACTATGAATACCAGCCTTAGATTTATCGCGAAACGTGACACATGTCCAAAATGATATCTAAGATTTCACGCTCGGATATCTAAACTTATATCCCTTCTATCTTCTTCCCAGCAAGTCCCCAGACGCTGATCTCTCATGACCGTCGAAAATGCGCATCCGAAAAATTTCGCTTACACGTCTACGATAGCCGCGATTCAGTCCTCGGTCATTGTCACCCGACCGTCCGTCTGCACGCAACGGATCTGTTTTCATTCTCCGAAACGCGCGTCAGCAACAGCAGCAGCAGCAGTCTCTCCTGGATCCGGATCTCTCTCGCTCGACTCCGTGTTTCGCGAACGCATTTGAAATTTGAATCCGGCGCGGGGTGTGTGTCTCACGTCGACCAATCGACAAGACTGTCACGGCGTTGCGGTCCAATCGATGATCGCGCTGTCGGAGGCTCGACTTGTACACGGCGTGACGTAACGCCGTTTAAAAGGCGAGCCGCGTGGGACGCGCGAATCAGTCGCACGACGCACGTTGCACCGTGTGCATTGCTGGAGCTGAGGTATCGTCGGATTCCCATCGGCAAGAAAGAGAAAGAGAGAGAGAGAGAGAGACTAAAGTGTACATTGTCGGCGTGTCCCTTCCCTCCCTTCCTCTTTCGCTCTTCCTCTCCTCCTTCTTCTTCTGTCGCTTTCTCCTCTGCTTCCCGGTTCCTCTTTCCTCGGTTTCCATCCCACGTATGCCGGAGGTTTCATCGTCCAGCATCGGTGGCTACAATTAGACCAGGCACGAGATCCCGTTGCTGATCCATTACGCTCTTGAGGGATAATTTTATGCGCGACGAGCTGGCGCGCGATCAGGAGCGGAGCGATCACGCAGGCTGAAGGAAAACCTTTTAACGCAACGGTGCCTACGTTACGACTGTCTCACTGGGAGATTGGAAAGACACGCGAAGGTTAACTTGCGTGCTTCCCGTAAGTAGTTCCCGCGCGTCGTGATAGGAGATATACTCTAATTACAGCAATAATCGTAATTACTGATTCATTGTATTTTTATCATTTTTTTCCTGAGAACCACGAATACACGAGATCAAAGCGGGGATTGAATACATACGCAATTATTATAATTGTACTATGCTCTTGTTTGTTGTAATCTTGTAGAATTTTCCTGTAAGATTGTGACGGATTACAGCATCAAAAATATGCTGTATAAAACGTGCAGTGATGAAACGTACTGCTGTTAATTTGTGATTCTATGCCGTTGAATCATCAATCAAATAATTGACTACGATACTTTATTGCGCTTCGTATATTCGGAAACACAGTTGTCTTTTCTATTTTTGTAATATACTTATTAACCTTCTAAAGCACATGTTATTAACCTTTTAAAGCATACATTTGTTAACCTTTTAGAAGAAAGAGCATGTAACAGTAAATATCGCAGAAAGATACGATTATGTTTCTGCGATACACATGTCGCATAAATTGCAAGGTAGAATTTTATGATAGGACTTCGATTGTATTTGCATCTTCATTTCTACATTTTTAAATTGTACATTCGATTGCAAGACGAGAAAGAGAGAGAGAGAGAGAAGATTTTAAATTGCAATGACGCGAAATCAATCATTTGATAATAACTGTGGGCCGTTATTTAATATCAACTTTATCTGCCTTCTTGATTTGTACCGAGAAGAAGCAGGTGACATGTATAGCACTCGTATGTTACTCCGTGGCTAAATGTAGCCAGTGTCATTTAGGGACGGAAATAAGCGCGAGTGATGTCAATTTGGTGACCGGTATTGATAAACTTAACGACCATGTTGCTGTATACATGTTTCAATGGCGAGCGATCATGTAGAAAATAAAACACGTCTTGAGACTTTCGGTCGGAATTTGTCAACTTCACATAATATTCAAATTTCATAGCCTTATCTCTTATAGTTTTTATCAAAAATCATTAATCTTTTATTTAATCTTTTATTGTTTGTTATCTATTTAAATTAAATGAATATATTATGACAAATTTTTTTAGAACTAAATTATTAAATTTTAACAACATATAATGTATATTATAACATAAATAAATTATTACTGATTAATAAATTGAATATACATTATTATTATTAAATTTTATAAATATATAATAATTAGATAATTTAAATTCCAGATTAATTTCCTCAAGGTAGTTAGATCTTCATTGTACATTTAATTAATTACAATTAATTAATTACGTGATATATTAAAAAAAACCAAGTATATTTTTATTTTTAATTAATACTCCGAGAAATGTTTCTAGATATTCAAGGTTTCTCGTCGAGGTCAACTTCGCTCGCGAAAAACGACGGAAACCTTGTCGCAGTAAAATTGACGGTTGTAAAGTTATAAAATATCTATAAAAGCCTCACTTTTTTTTCTTTATTTTATTTATTAAATCGCAACAGGGTAATCAACCTCTCACGAATTCATCGAATTATTCGCGAGTTATTTGATTCTTTCCGGTAGATTCTCAGAATCGTTCCTCATTGTGCATATTTATCGATAATGCATATCCAATTGTTTTAACGTGACTGATAAATCATAACTCAGCACATAATTCAAATGCGCTGAGTGCAATTAGCTAATGAGAGTACGGCAATCGATTTACCGATTCTAATATTAAACCTATTACATATCACTACATCGAACAACTTTACATTTCCTTGACGTAAAAACGCAGCAAGAACCGAACAGTTATCGATGCGCGTATTGCAAGGAACGTAAGTTTCTCTCTAATTTCTGAGAACATCGTTTATTATTCCAGTATTTTGATTCGTTTTCACAAATGTGTATATATATATATATATATATACACGATACACGTTGTAAATATTCTTTTTCAATCATCTTAAATATGTCTTATCGTACATCGCGGCAAGGAATCTTTTACGAGGAAAGATATTAGAATGTTAATGACATAAGTATGTGATTGCGATATTATTTGTGATAGCGAAAATTCCTCTCGCGACTTCTACGTCTAATATCTGTTTTTGCATTTTATGTTGCAGGAGAGATGCGGCCTCGCTGTTGGAGCTGAGACCGTCTCGTCGGCTGCGAAAATTCGTGGGCCCACATCCGAAATCGATCACGAAAAAGTAAGGATCACTCGCGTCAGGATCATCATCCGCGCACTCCATCACCCTCGTATCCCTCGTTCGAAAGAGCGAAGCACGAATCACCGCTGGGTCGAATCTAGCCGGGTCTAAGCAAAAAAAAGAAAGAAAAAAAAATTAAAGAAACGGATAAATCGAACAACAAAGGAACAAAACGGGGGAGAAACGTTTAGCGAAGAAAGCAGAGTCACTAGATCAAGAGTGAAAGAGGAGGAGAGAGAAGGAAAAGCGAGAGAAAAGTTTAAAAAAAAAAAAAGAAAACGCGCATATCGTAACATCGAGGAGACGGCTTTTCGGTTCTTTCGATAGAAAGCAAAGAGGGAAAGTCGGAGAGAGAGAGAGAGAGAGACCGTTAAAATCTGGCTTTCGGTACACGCGTTGTTGGTTTTTTATTTTTCTCGTTTTCATTTCGCGTCATTTTCCCGTAAAACCTCAAGAGAAAGAGTGATGCGCCCGTGCTTCTCCGCGCGTGCTTGTGTAACATAAAACCGGATCGCGATATATTCGTTCGAACATATACACGGCAGTAACAAACAAGAAAGGAAAGAAAAAAAAAAAAGAAAAAGGTAGATCGTACACGCACGCACATACAGTAGTACGAAACCGAAAGAGCGAAAAAAAAATGGCCATGGTCCCGACATGCTCCGTTTTGATGTTTCGTCCTCTGGTGCACGCTGCGCTCTTGATGTTCCTCGTCGTTCTTCCGAGCACTTCTATCGCGGATAACACGGGCACGACGAAACCGCCCCCGTGCTCAAGGTAAGTGTCTCAGAGAACCAACCAAACGAAATTTATTCTGCACTCGATCCATCCTGAGAACTTGATTCGAACTCGCACTCTTTTTTTTTTTGCCCACGTGATGAAGTAACTCGTTAACAGATAATTGCTTAAATGTCGTTAGAAACCGATACTGCTGCCGCCGGCCTTCGAAACTGCGATAAATTGCGGTCAAGTCACATTTTCCGTTGTACGATGCGAAAAGTTTTCAACATTAACGATCTGTCTATAATTTAAAGCTATCGGCGATTGAGAATATTTTTTAAATTCTTTATTACTTGTCTTCATAAATATGTCACGTTAATTTAATCGACAAATATTCTTAATTAAAATGAAGACATTTCGAAGAAGAAATCTTGAATAAAACATTTGAAATTTTTCTAAAACTGCTTTGTCATTCAGTGTAAATTTATGTAGATTCTATCATAGTTAAACACTTGAATTCGAGTGCTTTACGCCACTGACTTATACGTAACCGATATATTAGAGATATAATAGTATAAAATTTTATATCCCAATTATCGTACACTTATCTCACTAATTATCATTGATCATCGTTTGCGAAGATAGAATTACAAAATGACGTCGGACTAAATTAGTTAGGACTTAGGCATTATTGTATTTTCTATAAGTGCATTTGAAACTACGGACTATTATGTAAAAAAAAAAAAAAAAAAAAAAAAAACAAGAATTGCTTGTCATTTAGCTAATTTTTTTAGCTAATTTTAGCTAATTTTAGCTAATTGTTTTTACATACCACCAACAATGCTTATTTAAATATATTTTTTTAATTTAAAACAATATAAAATGTATTACTACGCATTATAATTGTTTGTCGCGTATAAAAATATTTGTAGCTGTCGCATCTTATTTTTATCTGCATTTGATTTAAAATTATACTATTGTAACTAGAAATAGAGATTATAATGAAAATTTATGTAGTTGCCAGAAGTTAATTATGTGTAGAAAGATACAAAGTAGAAATATTAGTATGATTGCTAACAGCAATATTATTATAAAAAAAAACTTAATAAATTCAAAAATGGATTTTTTCGAAAGTAGAATATATTTGTACGAGTATTTTTTTAACAAATAGATTGTTCGTATAAATTACAGAATCTTAAAATTTAAAGTTTTAATTTTATTTAAATATATTCGCTAGTTACCAGAAAAAACTACGACATTAGATGAGCAAATTCCGACAGCTGACCAATCTTAGGTCATCAGACATCTCGAGGAAATGTCACGAGACTTCACATGATATCATGTCGACAACGAAACACGTTGTACATGCGATAAAAAATAGTCGTGTCATATATTATAGTTCCTCGACGGATTTGCAAATAATTTTGTTTGCAATAAAATCGCTTGTTCTCAATTTTCATTTTTTAATATTATTTTTATTAAAAATTTTTGAGATCATTTTTGTTGTACAACTTCTTTGTAAGATGTATTTTTTTCGACGATGTTATTAACTTTTTTAAATTATGTCATTCTTCTAACACTTCATGACTTACAAATGAAGTTCGTAACATCGTGTTTTTGTTATTTGGGACTTTGCCCAAGTGATTCCTATTTTATTTTGACATAGACGCGAATCACATGCTGCGGAAACATACGTAGAAAAATAGTCCGCTTTTCTAAAATTAGATCAATATGCTATTTTTCTTTGTGTGTATTTCTTCTTTATTGTTATTTCATTTCAATGTTAAATAAAATATAAAAAATTAATTATTATTAGGAAATAAATTAAGGAAAATCACAATCTTTCGAACAGCAATATTAGATTTTAAAGGTACAATGAATTTTTTGATTGTGAACTCTGATAGAGATAAATTTAAATTTGTAAAAAATAAGTAAAATACAATTCAGTTTCTATTGTATATAATAAACAAATTCCTCATTTTTATTAAAATTTACAGAAGTATGTAAGAACTTTTTCAGATTTTTACATATGTACACTTTGGAACAATATCAAAATTTGCACTAAGTTCGAAAAGATTGTAGACGAAAGGTGAAAATTTCATTCATCGCGGAAAATTAACGAAATGAATAAACATTAATGCGACTTTGGAGAGAGAGAGGGAGGAATATGCTTATTAGATTCGAGTACGTGTGCCGCTTCTCAAACTTTGTACTTTCCTCTTTCATGTAAAGTGCCATTATACAGTATAATCGTCTCTCTGACGCACTAAGGAATCTGTGTCGCTTTAAACCGACGGGATTGCATATGCGATATTGCATTAGCAAGCACGTGTGACGCGAGCATTTAGGGAAATGACCTTAGCAATGAACCTCGTCCCGGAATCAAACGTGTGGCAAGTTGGGCTCTAAATTATCGTGTTCCGCAAGCACAATGAGCGTGACCTTTACAGCGTTTGCATGTGTATGTATGCACATGCTAATGGTGTGCGTCGAATTGCAACGGAAACTTTTCACTCGTACGATCGATGACGCGCCGCCAGCATCTCTATCTAAAGATTTGGCATTCGTTCTCTGCCCGCCGAGATCCCGCGGTTGGTACATATCGAGGATTATTGTTATATTTGTTTAAATGTAAATGGGAAAACATTGTTGAAGTCTCACACACACACACACACACAAACATGCGCGCGCGCGCACGCACACAACTCTAAAAATACTTTACATGCGATATATATTTTTAACCAGACGATTACAGAATTGATATGAGAAAGAATCAGGTTGTCGTAATTGCGAAACTGTTTTACTTTTTGCAGATATGTCACGGTTCTTAAACAAAGCGAGCAATGAAGGGTATCCGACTTGTTAACGTAATGTTAGATAAAGCAGTGATTGTGTATCGTGTTCCTCATAATTTTGCATATTCAAACAGAGGAAATTTACTATACCATTCGACATACTCGTACTCGACATTGAACATCTATTATTAAAATTTCGAATTTTATTGTTACGTAAAATGAAGTTTATAATAAACGATTCAACTGGCACAATTTTAGAAGGAATTCTGGGCAAAATGTCAATTAAGTCATGAGCATTTATCTCATATCGAGATTTCTAGAGATATTAAACATTTTCGTATGCAATCTCGTGAATTTTGGCGGTGCGCCATTTCGACAAGTCTACGTACTATTTTCCCCGCAATGCAGAGAAAAATCGTCCAGTGAAAAAATATATATGTGATACTTATTTCTTGGTAAAATTACTTTAAAAAGACATAATAACTTTTTTCTTAAACTGCTCAAGAATCACGATAACACAATTTGCCGATAACGACAGGATATGGAATTACTTGCTAATTCACGGACGCAAAATTCGGTTGTTTTTCTTTTCAAAAATGTTTTTCAAGAAGACCAAGGCTGTTTGTATCTTATGCATCACACGATGTAAACATGCTTATCAAAGTTTATAAGTGTGTCGCGATATAGGCAAATCCGAATCACGTCTCCGAGATAACATCAGGTATATCCGGTAATGAGCGCACATTTGATCGCGATAACGATTAACTTTGCTGATCTCTGTCGAGACACATTCCTTGAGTTTGAGCTATCCTTGATTATGATAGTGGCGTGTAGGATAACGCGACGATGTAGGATATGAGAGGCGGCACGCCGAACACGCTTAGAGCTTAGTAAATTGAATCTTCCGGAGATCTTTCGAATGACGTCTTAATAAAGTGGCGCGATCAGGCCACTTCTTGGCCGAGACTGCAATGACATTTCAGTCTAATGCCCGTTTCTACCAATGTAGATTAATCTCAGTTCAACTTACTCTTCATCTTTTCATAATATTCTTAGAATTAGAAATAGATGAAAAGTT